CAGACTCGGGTTGCGCATCGGCAGACTCGGTCGCTGGGGCCGCAGTGTGTTGCTTCGCTTCTTTCAGCAAATGCTCAGGTGGCTTTGCATGCTTGTAATCACACTTATCCCTCATGCACTTTCCATAGGAAACCCATTGGGCGCAATACCCTGGAATCAGGGGAGCTTGTCCTGCTCCCGATTCCTGGGAGAGTACTTGTCCCTTCGATGAGGACTTGGGGTATTACCGGTCCTCTTCCTTGGATCACTAGGAGGCCGATTAGGCCTATGGGAATCTCCAAACGGAGATCGTCTCCTGACGGGAGGACCAGGAGCACCAGGTTTCTGGGCTCTGTCCCTGGACTGAGATCGTTCGTAAAAGTCTTTGTGCATATTGACCTGATTCTTACGAACCCTCCAGCGGTCAATTTCGTTCTTACAACGAGCACGAAGCCATTCATAGCTACAAACATCAGGGTTGGATATGTTCCTATCCCATTCCCTGATATCATGAGCCAAACAGTTGAGGTGTCTAACCTTCTCACTGAATAGCGACCGCTTTACCTGCTCGGTCAGCGGTTCATCGAGACCCGCAAGGATGTGATCCCACTTCGCGATGAACCTTTCAAGTCGCTCCTCTTCAGTATAGAAAGATGAAACACTGCATCGCAAGTTTGAGAGCTCAATTATCCTGAATGATTGCTCTCCGATATTTGCAGTCCTTAAGTGGTCGTATAAGAGCCACAGGATCTGCCTACTCTTGATGCGATTGTTGGAGCGTTGAGCGGCTTCGGTGAGACGATTAATCTTATCGATAATTGCAACAGTCTTGATGCACTTCCGAATGGCTGCATTGAACCTGGCTTCAAGGATGTGGTATTTACATTCCCCATCCAGTTCATCAAAGGTCTTTGCCTTCTCGACTTCAGTTAGCCAATTGATGACGTAAAGTCCATCATAGCTGTAGGCATTGCTAACAGCTTCCTTCATATTGGCTATCCATACCCTCAGCCCAGCCGCGTCGGGCTCTGGCGGGAGGTCTATGGGAATGCACTTAGTCGCAGCTGTACAGTTCGGATCATGGTGGCTACTGTATCCGCCGCCACCAGTTCCGAAAAGATGCTGTGGAACCTGAGAACTACTGATTGACAGTGCACATACAGGACAAAGGCGAGTAGCCTTCGGAATGCAAATCTCACATGCCTTTTTCATGCATATCTTACATTCCCCAATTTTGCTGGGGTCAGGAATATCCCGATCACACATCCGACAGTTCTTGTCAGGAGGATCGGGGCCACGCATGGTCGGCGGCTCAAGGCCTGAAGGATCCTTCGGCCTTGTACCGTTGGGATCAAATCCTGGATAATATCCGGTTTCACGTTTATCCAGGGGCACGGGTTGCGTAGCCTTCGGAGGGCTCTGAAGGTCAGCCGCGTTGGGTTGACCCCCAGTGGGAATGTCACGGAATCTGTCAACGGGTGGCCGCAGAGGCGGCGAGTACGACCGCGTCGGGTTCGTCTCAGGTGCGCCTCCAGGAGATCTATTCCTGACACGGTTACCATCGGGATCCCTTCTTCTCCTAGTTTCGTCCCTAAGGCACGCAAGACAACAGGGACCCTGGACAAATCCAAATCTCCTGTAGTCATCCTGCCCAGCAGAATGTCTGGTGCAGTAGTAGGTCCTACAAAACTGACACTCAATTCCCTTGGTCAGGAACGAGCTCTCCCTACAGACACCGCATCGGGGTCCGTTACGGGAACATTCTTCACACAAGTTCTCTTTGAACGAGAAACAATACTCACAAATATCACCTCTGCATCCTTTGCAGTGAAACTCAGCCATGAGGTGATTATTTCCATCACCTACGTATTTACACCTGGGTTTACCAGGCAGGGTTCCCACCGGCAGCACTCTTCTTCCCCCCTCCTCCTGGGCTTTGCCGATCTGGAGGAGGAGGTGGTGGAGGATCATCATCAGGAGGGCCAGGTGGAGGTGGCCGCTTATCCGGAGTACGGGACGCGGCACGCCTTCCTCCTGTGCGATCGTTCAATCCACTACTTGATGCCTGGTTCGAGTGCCTTGACTCGAGGGAGTTAATTCTCTGGGCCGTATTTCCCAGCACCTCGAGCATTTGCTCGAGCTTACTGTTGAGCGTAGTCGAAACGGCCATGTTATGAGTATTTTGCTTGTCCGTGTAGGATTTGCAGTCCCTTGTTTATCTCAAGGTTGGCTTGTGTCTCATAAAGTTGGTCTTTAACCCACTTTATGCCGTCCCTATTATTGGTCCAGCATTGTTCGACATCTTGCATCATCCTATCAATCTGACATACCCTAGTGGACAGGTCCTCGATTTTGAGGTTTACTCCACCAATCGCAGGATGGTTGGATTGGCTCTCCACTAGAGATCTCTCGATCGCATCAACACGAGCTATAAGCCCGGTTACTCGATCAGAAAGAGATTCAAAAACAGTTTGAACTTGGGTGATGGAGCGAGCAACATCATCATAGCTGGCTCGCTCATTTAGGGCATCGCCTATGCTTGTCATGCGATTGGAAACGATCTTGACGCGTTGGCCAAGCTCGGTCACGATGTCCTTAGTCCCTTGTGACAGCTGCATGGCCGCGTTCGCAGCCTGCGTACACGTGCTACTCACATGGACGCATTGGTCGTATTTGGCCCTCCACGAGTTAACCTCAGTGGAGAGCTGCTTGATGCATTGATCACTTCTATCATTCCTACGCCCAAGGTCTTCGACCTTAGCAACCAGGCGATGAATGATCGCACTTACCGAAGAGTCCACTCTCCCTCTTTCAAGGGCTGTTACAAGATCAGCAACCTCGTTGGGTTGCTCCTCACTCGCAGGACCAAATCCTGATCCGCGATCTCGAGGAGTGGACAAATCAACCATGATCGGATTAGATCTCGGAGGTGTCCTGAAATCATCTTGTACAGCCGTTGATGGCCGTGGGAATTCGCTCCGATTAGGAGACTGACTCTGATACGGTGCAGATCTTCTGGCATCACGAACCGCTGATGGCTGTGGCATGCCTAGACCCTTTGTCACAAACAATTTGGGAACTACTGGCCTATCAGTCCGCATAGGAACTTCAGGCTTCATATCGGCAATGACAACGTCATGCAAATCAGTCGCATTGGACGCTCTAGACTCAGACATTGATTCAACATCGGTGGCGCTGCTGACGGTGTTGTTGTGATTGGAACTTGATGCCATCATGGACTCAGACTCAATCGGAACATCAGCTCCGTCTGTGTTGTCAATGGTGAGAAAGGAAGCCGCATTGGGCGTAGGGCGAACAGGCTGTACATTCGGGCCACTCGACCTATTGAATTCCTCCTGGAATGCTTCGATCCCATCAAGCACGTTAATCAACGTGTCCGCGTTTAGCGGATCCCTACCGACAATCGACGCGGGATCGCCTGAGTGACCACGTCTTGAGCCCCGCACACTGGGGTTTCCCCTGTGTGCGGTCTCTCGATCCATCCTTCTAGCCCTATGCGAGCTGGCCGAGTCTGACCTAGACCGTTTGCTTGGCGTAGGACTGGGATGCAAATCCAACCTATCTACAATGTTTCGCTCCCTTGGACTCTCAAATCCTGAAAGTCCTGGGGGAGGGGACATATTCCTCATTGTCGGGTTTACCGATGGCCTTGGCCTGACATTGCGGCTGGCCACATCAGGATTGAGATTTTCAATGGACAAGGGTAGCATGAATTCCTCGCTTCCAGCAGTCCGCTTTGGGCTCTGAAACTGCGGGAAAGATGATGGGGCGGGTGGCCCTGGCATCCATGTATTGAAATCCATGCCAAAAATATTACCGTCGTTGGGCCATGAGGCCATCCAATCTGACCTACCGATATCGGCTGGCAGATGAACATCAAATGCAACTCCACTGGATGTACCGGATTCGGGATTACCGAGCGCTTGAAAAACTATACTACTGGTTGGCACAGGTCTACTGCTACTTCGAGAGTCACGAAACTCGGACTGACCAATATTCATCAGCTCGGGGAAAGATGAGGATTGAGCTCCAGATACAATACCGGGCTCGTCATCATCACGTCCTGAGACGGAATCATCATGGTCAGGACGATTAGTCCCATGACCCTGAGAGCGATTAGCTCTTGAGGCATTAGACGTGTCCGGGCACTTGGTCGTCATTCACAACGTCCAAGATTCCGGCCTGGCCGAGAACCCATTCATCGGTTACCACATGAGGTCCATCCTCAGTGATTCCCGCCATACTATTTACACTACCCTACGATACCTGCAGGTTGTTAAAAAGGGGTTCGCGGTGCCAACCGAGGACGAATCCTACGGCTGATAACCTGCGAAAGGGTTTGAAACAGAGTTCCGGGAGAGAATAAACAGGCCCAATCCCACCAACAAGAAGAGATTGTTTAAGTCCCCCAGTCCCAAGGGCAAAGCGGTGCCCTCGGCTGGCACAACAAACGAACCAAAACAGGGTGCCTTTAACCAAAAGATGAATGAACCCAGCAAGGGCAGAGACAACCGAAAGCAAGCACAAAGCAGCAAACCAAGCAGGCAAACAATGCAGCGAAGCAAGCAAAGCAAACCAGAGCGCGACCCTACCACCCCAAGTCCTGACCCACAGCCAGCCGGCCCCACACCGCCGGCTGGCGAGCCCGTGGTGTCCTTTTCCACGAGACCGCCGCGGCGCCGTGCGCGGGTAGTTGACGCTATGGCAAGATTAGGATGCCGTAAGGAAAAGCTTGAGCCAGATGGCGCATTGGCCATGGCAATGAGCAAACATGCTATGATAAAAGTACATGCCCCCAAAAACAAATTGGGTTGCCCTGGTAGTGGAACCAAGGACTAAAATCTGCGGTCCCTTGGTGGTTTAATTTCGAACCCGTCCCAGCACCATGTTCCGAAAAAGCGACACTAACGAGGCGAGCCTTTTTTTTGAGGGGTCCCGTTTTGGGGCGCGATTGTTTACGGGGCAATGGGACAACCAAAGTTGTTTTTGGTGTTTCCCATTTAAGGCCTCGCCCAAAATCATCCGGTTAGAGGTCGCGCCGAAGGGCAAAAAGGACTGGTCCCCACTTGCTCGGCAGTCATTTGCAAACCCTCAAAAGTCAAGGAGTTTACGAGATTGGAGCCAAAGTGAAACCAGAATCTATCCAATGTCAGCCAAACCATCTTGGACTGTCCAGAATAGCTGTTAGTGGGTTAAATGGAAGCCCCCACTAAACCCTAAAAGCTAAACATTTAAGTGGACGGCTGGGAACCAGCAAATATCGCTTATCCCACACTCCCCTTTGAGCCTTGCCGCAGAGTCGGCCCGCCTTACCACCTCTTTGAGCGGCACCTGGCGTTCAACCGGGACTTTCCGTATTCTGCGGGGCACCTTCTTTTGGATGGGTTCAAAAGGACACACCACCCAAACGACCCATTTTTGGGAACCCCTAGTTTGAGACAAACCCCAATGTCGAGTCATTGTGACCCAGCGACACTTGGCACCCCAATCACGCAAGCTGTGCGGGAATCCGGGAAGAGCGCGCTTTCGCGGAACTTCTTCCATGGTTGTTGGATTGGGGCGGAGAGGGGCGGGGCCTTTCCGCTTGTTTTGCGGCTGGCTGTTGCCTCAAAGCTGCCAAGCCCTGGATTGCCTGGATTATTTTTATACCTTCCCTGCCTCTCCCAGTTGCTTCCTAGTTCCTCTAAAACATAGGGGGGGACCTTGCAAATACGTGGGCGAGTCCCTCTTGGCTTCCTTTCCAATCCAACCTAACAAATTGCCACCAGGTTTCCGACCTTCCAGCCGCCCAAAACGGGTACCCCGCCAAAGATGCGCCCACCCCAAAATGGGTGTGTCCCGTTTTTTTAGGGGACCCACTTAAAATTGCGGTGTTCCCTTGGTTGCATCCAGTTGGCCGTCTCCTTGCCTTCAGGGCCACGGCAGCATTCCAGAGCCGCGCCCCGTCCACGTGAAGCTTCAGATTGTGCTGCTGGCAGAAGTCACCGGCCTTCTCCATGTACTCCAAGGGAAGCCTCAGACGAGCAAACAGCCAGGCCAAGGAATCGCCACCTGTGGTGTGAGTCAAAAATAGGTATCCAAAATGGGTTGCCCTGGTAAATGGAACCAAAGACTGAGCCACACCCAATGATTTTCTACCAAACCGAAGAGGACGATTCGGGAGCTGCAGGCAAGCGGCTCTAGGAGTAAGCCAACAGCGAACCAATCCCCAGTCCCAAACACCCAGGGGCATCGGTCGAGCCACTCTGATCCGTGCCAAACGTCACCCGGGTTGGACATTTGGAGGGCAACCTAGTGAGAATAGGAAGTCAGGCTTTGTCCCCTGGTTTTCGCATCCATGTCCCCTTTTGCGTTTTGTTTGTCCGGGAAAAAAAAGAAGAAAAAGAAGAAGGACAAAAACGAAACAAGAAAGAGAGACAACTGCCAGCTGCTGTCGAGTTTCACAGCGCCCCCCAGCTTGTTCTGGGTGTTCTCCAGCGCTAGAACCTTGGCCCGAGCAAAGTGCTCGTTCTCCGGCTTGATGTATTTGGCCACCTCGTCCAGATCCAGAGTACCATCCGCCTGGTTGGGGATGGTATTCCTCAGTCGATCGATCCATTGGATGGGACGGGGCGTCTGAGGAAGAAACCGTTGGACCACAAACAACACAGGGTTTTAGCTCCGCACGCAAAAGAAAAGCAAAGCCATCCAGGATCTGTGTGTGTGTGAAATTTGTCATGCATGGCTCTTGACTATCTGGGATCTGTAAGGCTGCCCCCACACAGAAGGTATGGTTGGGGCCGGACAGGACCATCGGGGGGGTTCTCACAGACCTCATCTCAGGTGAGCGTCAGCACTACGCCCATCAGGCTGGAGGCGCCGCCCTGCTCGTAGAAGAAGATGTGCGAATCCTAAGGCCAAAACTGTCGGGCGAGGCACGAGGGAAGGCGGGGGCCTTGCCCACGTGGCTTGCCCATGGGTCTGATGAAAAACCACTGCCCCATCCCCCAAGTTAAGGTGTGAGGGGGGGGGAAGGGGTGGCAGGCCAAAACGAAAACAGAAGCACGAGGCTGGGGTAGGGGAAGCTGGAAGCCCGCCATGTCCGTAGGCCACGTGGGTTTCCCTTGAACCCCACCTAAACGACTAACTAGCCTCTCCAAACGACTTGAAACCGCAAGAGGAATTACATGGAGCGGTTGGTCGCACCCACAAGAAAAGAAATCTCGGCCAAACACTGTGCTCCGTGCAACCCGTAAAAAGGAACATCGCCAAACATGCCAACCTTTAAATTTCGAACAAGTGCCAAAGTTGTCAGCAAAGGGGGCTTAAGTTGTCAGCAAAGGGGGCTTAAGTTGTCAGCAAAGGGGGCTTCAGCCCAAAATCCAGAACCCCCTAATTTGTGTCGCGGCTTCCTTTGCTTCTCCTTTTCAGCCCTCCAAAAGCGGTCTTTTTCCGAGCCTCGAAAAAAGAATGACACACACACACACACACGCACACACAGCAACCGAACCCGACCGCTCACCAAGCGGAACCGACCGCTCGCCGGCGTGCGTCGAAGGCGCTTTGCCGCAGATCACCTCCTCCCCGCGGCCAGCGCAATGGCAGCCTATGGCCAGGAGGTTTCCCATGGTCCCCGAGGCCACGAAGACCGCCGCCTCCTTGCCCAGCAGCTCAGCCTCGGCGACTCGGCGTGCGACACGCGAGTAAAACGCGGAGTTGGACAAAGACATGTCAGCTTCCGACTTGAAAGCTGAAGGGTTTGAGCCAACCCGACAAAGGACTCCAACTCTCAAACAAACACACAGGCACGGACACAGACACAAAGTCACACACAGACATCGCCGAGCTTTGCCAAGCCTTCTCCGTCCCAACCGTGTCCCACTTTCAGGAGGAATCCTTGCCCTTTTGGGAAAGCACCCTCTACAATTTAACTTCACCGGCGCAAAACCGCCAGGTGTTCAATCGGAAGTGTTGAACCATACTGCAGGGAAGCCTATCCAAGACGTGTATGCTGAGAAGAACAAACGGGCGGAACGCCGCGCCTGTTCATGATTGGGAACCTACTACACCTTCTTCAGGCAGCTTCGTGCAGAAGACAAGCATCCGGACGCTCGCACGAATCAAAAAGGCGGGCACCTGACATGGTTGCTTGTTCTCATCTGCCCGAGTCGTTTTCTGGTTGCACAATGGTTGCCTAGGGCGGACTCTTGGTTGCAAGTGGTCCAGCCAAGCAGCGACTCGGTTTTGGAGTTTTATCACGGTGGGGTCATCCCCAAAGACATCGTCTCCAACCTCGGCCTGTGCCATGGCATGGCGCATGCCCTCCAAGGGTGCGGTCACCGTGTCCGAGCGCATGTCCACAGTGGCATCTGGCGCTTGCACATCTCCATTGGGATAGCCAGCCACCATGGCCCGCACGAAAAATGGAAGGGCGACAAAGGCACGGACTTCTAGACTAAGCTGGAGAAAAGTTGCGTCACCCGGTGCTTACCAAGCTGGACCTAAACCGACAAGCCTTGGCCTGCCGCAACCGGGGAGCGCTCTCGCCATCACTCGCTTTCCCCTGCCGCAATCGGCACGCGCTGATTTCAATTTTCGACTCGAGCTCTGCCTGCCCCTCCCGCAGGCCGCCAAGCACCTACCAGGGTGAATGTACGCCGAACTCCCCCGAGCGGAAACATGCGCAACCCATCCAACGGTTTCAGCTGAAGTCAAGCAATGTTAAAAAACAGGCCCACTGAGGCGGCCCAACGGCCCAACCCTCTGTTCTAGGGTCACCCTCCCATTCCTTTCTACAGGAATCCTTTCTTGACAAGCACCAAAATCCGGCAAGGGTCAGGCTTAAAATTGGAACACCCAAGAAACCTCCCCCGTTTTCCGGGCACCCCCAAAATCAAGAGGACGGGTGGTTGAAACGAATGCGGAGGATTGGGGAATCGGAAACTGCCCGAATCGAACTCCTGACCTCCTCGTCACGAGTCTGGAGACTGCAGTGCGTCTTGCTGTGCCTGGAGCCCGGTCAAGAAAAGCGGTACGCCAAACCAAAACGCCGGCATCTTCCTTTGAGAGTGGGTTTTTGCATGGCCACCCCCTTTTGCCGGCCCAAGCAAAACGCTTTGACACAGACCAAAACGACCCGATTTTCAGACCCCCCGAAATGGTCGAAGTGGATCCGACCGACGGGCGATTCGCAGCGGGAAACTATCTTCTAGCTTGGGACTTCTGATGTGGGTGTCGTGTTTTTCTCTTTTTTTGGGGGGGAAGCCCTTTTTGGTTTCAAAGGGAAACCTTCAAAGAAAACCGAACTCCAATCTTAAGCCACCCATTTGACAAGCCCAGGATCGATGGATGAGGCCGGCACCCACGCTGGCCGCACAGGTAGCAATGGCCCTGGCTCAAAGGAGGAAGTTTCCGCGGTTTTGCTTCAAATCGAATCCCATTCCGTGATTTCCACTCCCTCGCTGGCAACCAGGCCTGTCTCGGGGTGACTGGATCAAGCCGTGCTGTTAGGAGTATGTGCCTTGTGTATGTGTGTGTGTGTGTGCTCCATAAACCTGTCCCACCTTTGGGCGTAGTAACTCAACACAGATTGGCGTGTGTGTACTTGCTGTATGGCAATGTGTCCGGCAAATGCAATGATCTATGCGCGAATGCGCCACATTCTGGCACCCAATGGTGTGCCAATTCGTTATAGTTCCTACTGTTTGAGGCACATATTTCAGCCCTCCAAGCAAACCCCTCGATGTGCGACTTTGTCGCCAAACAAGGGACCCTGCAAAGCGACCCGAAAAGGGCTTTACGAAGACATACGCGCGCAGCCAATCGTCTCCGATATGGTATCTTAAAAAAATCAGGATGGGGACCCCCAAAAAGGGCGGTTTCCTTTGAAACCCACCCTGACCCAGCTTTCCGCCACCTCCAAACCAACCCCAAACAAAACCTTTGCCAACCCTAAACCAACCCCAAGCTTCTGGCCAGCACTTTTGGGGGGTACCGAGCCCAAGGCTCGCCTTGAAGCGCCGCTGCGGCCGCTTTGGGCCCGGCAGCCCCAGGCCGGAGAGGTGCATGGTGCCTCGAGCCCGGCGAACTCGAGCGAGCCCCAGGGCCGTGCGCGGAAAGGGACCCGTTGACTTCAGCCAACATGTAGCATATAAAGGACTTGGCTCAAGCTCCTGCTCAATAAGTGCATGCTCAGACCAGTAGCCGCCGGAGCGGGGGTGGGATCACTGGCTTCGGTACTGGCCAGTGTGCTGGTATCTCGCTTCCACGAGCCCTTTCCTTTGGAGGCCCTTTCGGCCTTCGCTGACGGCCAGTGGGGCCCTGTTGAGTGGCGGATCTTTGCTTTCGGCCTGGCAGTGGGTGTTATCATGGGGATCCTCTTGGGGGTTCTCCTGGATCTGCTGTACTTGTACAAGCAGCTTCTTGTGGCCTCAGTGCGGCAGCGCCTTGCCACCCTTCACTTAGCGGGAAGTCCGTGGAGAAACGCTTGAATCAGGGTCCTTTGAGCGCTTCAGCAATGCAGCTGAGACGGAAGCTGGGGTGGCCGGATGCCAGCTGCAGCAAGGTTGCGTGGTGCAAGAAGGCGAGGTGAACCTCCTTTACCCGCTCTACTACCTCCCCTTTGAGTTGGAAGGTGAAGAGGGTATGAGGAGGGTAGCCGCTGTTTTAGTCTCAGGTGGTAGCGGTTCCAGCAGCGGTTTGGCACCGCAGCTTGGCCCGTCGCCTGCTTCCTGCCGGCCTGTTTTCAAAGCCGGTGTCTTTGGTGGCTTCAGCCGCTTCGCCGGAAAAACGCGCTGAAGAGGAGAGAGAAGTGCCGCTACGACTGTGGGTTGGCCTTTTGAGCACGGAAGGCGAGAGGGTGATCTGTCCTGTTGGAGAAGCCGACGAGGACTTTGTCATCCACTACACCTTCGGCGGAGAGGTCGACAGCCTGGAAGACTGCGTTCCGCACGCACGAGCTCTTGCGGAAGCTGCAGGTGAGCGTTTTCTGTTTGCGTCAGCCGAGAGCGAGGCGCCCCCAGCCAACGTTGAGGATAGGCTAGGGAGGTTGGAGTCAGCCTGCTGAGCTTAGAGAAGAGCGTGCAGGAAGTTTTGCAGGTCAGGCAAGAAGACCCGCTAGCGGCCGCAAGCCGCCCTACGCAGAGCAAGGTTGGGCAGGAAGGAGGAGGCGCTGGGCGCCCCGGGGCTTTGCGTGGAGGAGACCGTCACCGGTTAGCAGGCCTCGATCCAAGTGTTGTGAAAGCCGCGGAAGTTGCAGGTGTCCCACGTGCTCACCTCGAGGAGATGGCCAGGGTTGTGCAGCAGCAGCAACAGCAGGGACGCAGCAGCGGCCTCACCGACTTCCCCGCAGCTCGTGGCAAGCCCAAACCTACCAAGCGGCCGGACCCCTTGTCAGAATCCGAGGAAGAAGACGAGCCAGCCCCCGAGGCCCGCCAGGCCGACCCCATGACGTCTGCTGTGATGACGTTGACAAAGATAGCCGAGGAGCTCATAAAGCAGCAGAAGAGGAGCGAGAGCTTGGAAGGCTTGCTGGATGGCGCCGGGTCTGGAGGAGCCGAGCTCGAGGGAGGTGTGCAAGGCTCCAAGAAGAGCCACGCGCTGAACGCGTTGAGGAGGAGCTTGACCTTCCTGTCCAAGGCAATCGAAGCTCAAATGAGCGCCGACTTTGCTCTAAGATCGCAGCTGCCTGGAACCAGTCACGTGCCAGTGTCGGCAAGGTGTGGCTCGACGCAAGATCCCGAGTGCAACATTACCTCAGCACAATCAGGTTCCTTTGGTCGCTCGCCGGGATTGCAGACAGCCTCAAAGAAGGCCGGTCAGACAAAGCTTACGCGCGGGCACTGCTGGCTTTGGCGGCGGGGGACCAGCTATCGATAGACCATGGGAGTTGGACCTTGGCTGCCGAGTTGATGATGGAGGACTCCCCCCCCTTCAGCTCCTTCCAAAGCCACGCTCTGCCCTCCGGGAGCGAGCAGCCTTTCACCAAGCTTGCAGACCCCCGGTGGATCTCGCTGCTTCTGCACCGGCTCAAAGATGTCGACATGTACTTGGAGCAGCGGAGGAAGTTGGGAAGCGGCCAAGCCAAAAGCCGGCAACAAGAAGCAGGAGTGGATGAACAGATCCAGGCCCGGGAACGCGGGCCAGGAAGGTGCCGAGAAGGCCCCTCCGGGGGCTTAAGGAGTGGAGAAGGTAGAAAGGAGGCAGGGGCAGCAGCAACAGCAGGGAGGAGAGCGCCGAGACAGCCCTCTCCCCCAGGCACATCACGGGGCCGCGCCAGGAGCGTCAGCAACGCCTGTGCTAGCTGCCGGCTTGTGGTGTGCCCTGCCCCCATGCATGGTTCGAATTCAAATTCTTTTGCAACTTTTCTCCGGAGCTTGACGCAGAAGTCGCCACTCCGCCCGTGCGGCGGGACCTCAGCCACATGGCCGACGCCTATGCCTTACCCAGACGTCTTCTTTAGGGGGTAGAGAGAGGGCAAAGAGCCCGCGACAGAGAGAGGTGTGAAGCAAGCAGTGAACTTGGCGGTGGCCTGCTTGAGTTGGCTAAAGCTTGGCCAGCCCACGGCAGCCCCCCCTGAGATGAGAGACTCTCGCCTTCGAGGAGGGCGTCAGCACCAGACGGCGCGCCGGATTGAGGCTGTGCTGAGAGAAGTTTTGTGTCAACCGATGGTGACTCCTGAGAACATGGGGCGAGTTGCTCCAAAGGTAGAGAGTTTTGAGGACGCCCTGAAGCTGTTAAGAGGCCGAGAAGAGCAACTGAGGAGCAGCAGCAGCGGAGGATACCGAGCCAGGCCCGCCGTGGCCAGGCCCATTTTTGACCCCAGCGAGGTAGAGTTGGGTGAAGTGCCTGGAGGAGCAGAGTGCCCGGCCAAGCCAATCAAGGCGGACCGTCTTGAGTTCGCAGGGAGGCCTTCCTTCGATCCACGCCCTTTCCTAGACAAAGCCACCGCGCACCATTACGAGTTTCCCATGCAAGTGGCCAAGCCCGAAGCAGAAGCAGAGGTGAGGCCCCCCAAACCAAGGATCCTTGAAAAGAAGGGCGAGGCAATGAAGTTGTTGCGGAAGCTAGACGAGACAGGGCGACTGAGCCTGCTGCCCGTGTCAGAGTGCCGCCAAACCCATTTGAACGGGCTATTTGCAGTAGGAAAAGACGTCTACCGAGATCGCTTGATTTTGGACCCGAATCTGTTGGAGCCCGGCCTTCAACGATGGGTCCGCCTGGGAAGCATTGACGGGGTTTTGCAGATCATGTTGAGCGAGGAGGAAGTCCTGGCTTGCAGCGGGGCCGACCTAAAGGACTACTACTACTCTTTTGAAATTTCCAAAGAGAGGAGGGTCCAGAACCCGCTTGGGATTCTCTTGCGCGAAAGTGAGGCGTGTGGCCTGAAGTGTTTCACGCGGGACCTCGCCGGGCGGGGCCCTTTCCGCCCGTCGCTTGCCTCAATGGCGATGGGTGACTTGAACTCTGTGGAGTTCGGTCAAGCCGCTCACGTTGCCCTCATGCTTCAGGCTGGAGTTGCTCGCCCAGAGGAGATGATCACATTGAGGTCACGGCCATGCCGAGGTCCCATTCAAGTCGGTGTCGTGATCGATGACTTGATCATTTTGGAAAAAAATGGGGCAGGAGGAGTTTCGACAGCTACTTCCTGGGGCCTCAGCTGGGGCAAAGCGCTTGCAGCAAATGAGCCGAAGATACTCGGAGGTCCATCTACAGCAGAATTTCAAGAAAAGCTTTGAGGAGGAAACGCGAGCCAAGTTCTGGGGAGGCGAAGTTGATGGGCGTGGCGGCATTGTCAGGCCCATTCTGAGCCGCCTTCTTCCTGTCATCAGCATCACTGCGGAGCTGGCACGTCTTCCTGTCTTGACTCCCGCGCTGTTGGAAGCGATTGCTGGGTGCTGGTTCGCCATCTTCCAGTTCAGGAGGAGGTTCATGTCGCTGTTGGAGGAGGTTTTTGCCATCCCAGAGTTTGTGCCCCGCAGAAGTGTTGTGAGGATGTGGCCGGCGTTGCAAGCGGAGTTGTGGAGCTTGGTTCTGCTGGGCCCCCTGGTTGCCACCAACCTACGCGCCAAGCCTTTCTGCGACTGATGCTTCTGAAAAATGGGAAGCCGAAGTTGCGGCCCCCATCCCTCGAGTGTTGGCACGCGAGCTCTTCAGGCACACGCTGCAGAAACCCACATGGGTTCATATGTTGAGGCCGCTGCAAGAGAGGCTGAGGAGAGAAGGAAACTTACCGCCTGATGAAGAGCTCCCTGAAGGAGAGCCATACCCCGTCCACCCGCTTTGGGTGCAGCTGGCAAGAAGTTTGACTTTTTCTTGCAGGTGGAGAAAGAAGCTGAAGCGGCCCAAGCACATAAACACCCATGAGTTGGATGCCGTGCTGGAGGCAGAAAAGAGGATCAGCGAGACCTTGCCCCATAGCAGGCTCCTCTTAGCCAGCGACAGTCAGGTAGCTCTAGGCGCCTTGCTGAAAGGTCGCAGCAGCAGCCGGCAGCTCAACAAGCAGCTCCGCGCCAGTTTGTGCCATGTTGTTGGAGGTGAGGTTTACCTGGGCTTGCTGTATTTTCCCACGGCCGAAAACCCGGCAGATGACCCAACAAGAGACGCGCCCTTGAGAGCCCCAGTTGAGGCCTGGCCCAAGTGGGCAGAAGCAGCAGTCCGAGGCGATTTTGCGCCCATGGATGAATTCTTGCAGAAGCATGGAGTTGATCCTGAACAATTGAAGGGAGTCCCGAAACTAGAGATCAAATCTGAGGAGTCGCCACCGCACGGCCCAGCAAGGTTGGGCACTGGCTTTGGGAGCCACCAATCGGTTACAGGGAAGAGCGAGAGGTTAGAGCTCAACGCGGCAGCAGCGCCGAAAAAGGAAGCTGAAGAGGCAGAGGAGGAACTAGACACCGAGCCCCGCGAGGCAACGGTAGCTGTCCCTATGGAGAGAACGGCAGCCGCACGAGCACGTGCTGCAGCAGGTGGTGGGGCTGTGCCTTTGCCAAAGGAGGCAGCGGTGTGTGAGGAGCCCGCACCTTTGCAGAAGAAGGCAGCAGCAGGCGAGGAGGCCGCCCCGGAGGCCGCCCCTGTGCAGAAAGAGGCAGCAGCAGGTGAGGAGGCCGCCCCTTTGCAGAAGAGAGCAGCAGCCGGTGAGGAGGCCGCCCCTTTGCAGAAGAGAGCAGCAGCAGCTGAGGACGCCGCCCCTTTACAGCAGAGGGCAGCAGCAGGTGAGGAGGCCGCCCCTTTGCAGAAAGAGGCAGCAGCAGTTGAGGAGGCCGCCCCTTTGCAGAAGAGGGCAGCAGCAGTTGAGGAGGCCGCCACTTTGCAGAAGAGGGCAGCAGCAGTTGAGGAGGCCGCCCCTTTGCAGAAGAGGGCAGCAGCAGTTGAGGAGGCCGCCCCTTTGCAGAAGAGGGCAGCAGCAGTTGAGGCCCCTTTGCAGAAGAGGGCAGCATCAGTTGAGAAGGCCGCCCCCTTACAGAAGAGGGCAACAGCAGTTGAGGAGGCCGCCCCTTTGCAGAAGCAGGTAACAACAGAGCTAGCAGCTGAAACGCGAAATAAGCAGCTTGACAAGCGAACAAAGCTGGGAAAACGGCACGCCCCTAAGGATTGCATCGGCGGAGTTCTTTCTCCTGAAGCGCAAAAGTGTATTTATCGTTTTCGCGAGGATCAGTTTGTGTGGCCTAAGAGAAGCTACTTGCCCAAGGGCGAGCTGAGAAAACGGCAAGGATTCCTGGACTTGTATTCTGGGAGCTTGGGCGTTGCGAGGGAAGTCGCGCAGCTTTCAGGCTGCTGGGTGCTCACCTTTGATTATGCCAGGGACACCGCAGAGGATTTACTGCAGGCAGCAACAGCTTTTCCACGGGGTTGACCTTTGTGTTTTTCTTGGGGTTGGAGGAGGGCCCGTGTGCAGCAGCCTGTCTCGAGCCGTTCGTCCACCAGTTCGTTCTCTCGCTTTCCCTGAGGGTGTGCCGGACATTCGGGAAAGCATGAAGGAAAGGGTCCAACAAGGGAACAGGCATGCAGACTTCACGGCGCGGTTTGCGCATCACTGTGCAGCTGCTAAGATCGCTCATTGGTGGGAAAACCCATGGTTGTCTTTTCGTTGGCAACAGCCTAGGTGGAAGGAGGTTTTGCATGCTGGAAATGGTGGATTCTTCTTGGTTGACCATTGTGCATTTGGGACAGCTTGGAGGAAACGCACGAGAATTTTCACCAACACTACACTCAAAGACCAGCAACTTCTTTGCAAGGGGTGCAGTTGCCACCGGCATCTACAGGGCTTTTCCGCTGCCCACGGCCAAGCGTGGACAAAGGTTGCTGAGCCCTACCCCCGTGGGCTGAACAAGATGCTGGGAGTTGGGGAGGCTGCAAACCCTGGGCCAGCAGGGCACGGAGATTTGCCAGCTAATTTGGAGGAGGTTGCTTTGGTTTCTCGGGCCACACAGCAGTTGCAAGAAAGGGTGCTTGAGGAGTTCAGGGACTGGACGAGGCAGCGGTTCAGCACCCAAGCCGAGCGTAGCCTGACTAGCGAACCCCTTGTTTTTTGCAGCTTAGTGCGAGTATATGGTGACTGGTGTTTTCAAAATGGGTTTCCTATGTACAAGTTTCGGCATTTGCTGGCGTGGTTGCAGAAGAACCGCTTCGAGCTGCGCCCCTTTTTGCCTTTATGCTGGGATTTGCTCACATGTTGGGAACGCATTCGGCCACCAATTCACCGTACCCCGCTACCGAAAGCAGTTTTTGAGGCGATGATGAGCCTTGCTTTGCAGAGAGGATGGGTACGATGGGCTTGTGTCACAGGCTTGGCATTTTATGGGGTAGCGCGCCTCGGAGAGCCTCTTCGAGCTGCGCGGTCCGATTTGCTTTTGCCATCTGATTTGTTGGACTCTGAACTTTCAGGATGCTTTTTGCAGATCCGCAAGCCTAAGTCGGGTTTTCGAGGTCGTGGTGTGGTGCAACACTGTAGTATAAAGCAACCTGAATTTGTCCGCTTTCTGGATTGGCATTTGTCAGGCTTGGCAGGCGAAGAGCCTCTCTACCCTGGGTCGGCTCATGCGTATCGAAACCGTTGGAATTCCATTTTGCAAACTTTGTCTATCCCTACTTCAGCCCGGTTCACACCGGGGAGTTTGCGAGGCGGAGGAGCGGTGGCAGCGTACCACGCTGGAGTTCCAATAGCAGACTTGCTTTGGAGGATGCGTTTGCGTCACCAGATGACCTTAGAAAGCTATTTGCAAGAAGTGTCGGCGCTCTCCACACTGCGTCAGCTTCCCCCAAACGCTTTGAGTGCAGTGCGGGCTGCCTCTTCCCTATTCCCTGTTTTTCTGGGTTTGCGCACTACTGGCTGAGCAGCAGGTTGTTTCACCCTTCGATGGGCTGCGGCGCCATCGCTCTCGCTGTTGGGCCGCCAGACTGGAGTGGAGTCAGGCACAGAGAACACTGGGATCCTAACCCTGCTTTTGCTATTTTGGGGCTGGGCTACGCTCCCTGATGTTTTTCTTGGTGGTGTCGGACCAGCTCACGCACAGACTGTCAAGGCGGCGTCAGCCGGAGAAATCTGCGCGGGCAGGGTTGGGCGAAGGAGGTGCATGTTTCTTCATGCACACTTGAGCCCTCGCTGCCGCCAGCTCCTGCTCAACCCACCCACCCACCCGTCCGCCACCCCGTCAGGCACAGAGAACACTGGGATCCCAACCCTGCTTTTGCTATTTTGGGGCTGGGCTACGCTCCCTGATGTTTTTCTTGGTGGTGTCGGACCAGCTCACGCACAGACTGTCAAGGCGGCGTCAGCCGGAGAAATCTGCGCGGGCAGGGTTGGGCGAAGGAGGTGCATGTAGCATATAAAGGACTAAGAGAACTGGGATGGGGGATGGTGGGGTACCTTAAAACTACATTTGGTGGTTGGAGCAAACTGCTGTCAATGATTTGGCCCTCTTTGCGGCAGAAAGTGTTTGCGTGAGTTGAAGTAACATCCACTTCTGGATGGCGTGCGCAAACCTCAACTTTGTTCCTCCAAAGGCTCTCTCTCCAGATTCCATGTCCCTTCACCTTCCCTCAAAATCGACCCCCCAAAACGGATACCCTTTCAAGAGTCAACGCACATCATGTGTACCACTTGGAATGTCTTATTTCCTTCTTGGCCATCCGGAAGGTTTGCCAGGCTCTGTGGTTGGAGGTTACTAGGAATCATTTTCAGCCCTTCGTCGGCTCAGCGCCCCAAAACCAAGCCAAGCGCTTGGAGTTGGCGGTTTGAGACCACCGCCGCGAAACGCCGCGAAAAAGGCCCAAAGTCAGGCCATGAGTCTGTGGTTTTCGGGAGAATGCCCCCTTTTGAACAGAGGCACCAACCGGAAGCCAGCCATGGGGCGCCATAAGCCCGAGACGTGCGGCAGCCACAGCGGTGAAGGTCTCGGTCTCTGTGGCCACCTGAGCCAAGACTCTGAGCGCGGCTCGTCTTTTTGGGAGTTTGTCATGTTGACCCCATATGGCTGTGGGTGAAAAATAGGCTAACCCCAAATTTAAAATGGGTTGCCCTGGTAAACATGGACTAAAACCTGCGGTCCCCTGGTGGTGTAATTTTGACCCATAACCATATTAATCAACCCCAGTTTGCTAATAGGGGGTGGTCAGTGTTCCTCTCCAAAAGTGATGATTCCCCAGCAAACCCAGGGACACCCGCCGAGGAATGAAGTGGGGTTGACTAATATGGGGTCAGCATTACCCTTTGTTTGGTGTAACCAAAGGAACACCACATGTTTTTCTTTTGGGGGGGAGGGGCCGCCCTTTACAAGACACTCCCAGATATGTTCTGGCCATGAATCCGAATTTGGGGACCCTTTGGTGGGCAATAATTTCCGCGCGTGTGTGTGTGTGTGGCGCATTCAAACATCGTAGCCAAGTTTACCAAGCCCCACTTATGCCTCCCTGCTCCCGCGGCCTTCTGGTCCCAGCCTTTTTGCGTGTTTCCGACTGTCCAAGCGCTCGCTTTTCGAGCCTGGACAAGTCGCCTACGGGAGTACCAAGGCGGGCCAATCCACATCATGCATCATCATGCCATGCCTGGCTTGGGCTTGAGAAGTCAAGAGCGTGACACAATCGGCTTGGGCTCAGCTAAAATTGGCGCAACACCTGAGCAGTGGATCGATCCCCGCGGCAAAGCCGATCCTCTAGCGGAAGTCGTCGCCAATTTGAAGCGGCTTCCCAAAGGACACGAAGGCAGTGCTCAGATCACGATCGCGTGACCAATCGCGCATGCGCCCGTCCACCACCAAAACAGGCATGAGTGGATGGTCAATGGATGCCAATGGATACATTTCGGAGACTGCCCGTGTTCCCTTTGGAGCAACTGACAGACCGGCGCGGTTGGCTCAGCTGACCGTCGGAGTGTTGGCCTCTGTCCGGACTTCAACCGGGTGGATCTCCAGAAACAACGAGACCCATGGAACAAAGTGGGGCGTGATTCGGCCCACGCCTTGCATGAAGAAAGCGGCGGCTGAATTCACGAGTTTCAGGCTTTGGGTGGCTGCTGCTCAGCCAAACAACCCACATCCTGCCCTCATGGCTCAGTTGCAAACGCAGACTCAACATGGAGGTGTGCAAACAGGGAGTCCCATAAAATGGTGTTCCATTTGGTTTCCGCTTAACCAAGCTGAAGAGAGAACCCTCAAAAAAGCACACCTGCATATTCGAGTTGAAAATTGTTCAAGGGCTATCGTTGAATTGAAGAGATCTGCCCACCTCATTCTGCTCCAGGCGACAACAAAACACCGCAGGTTTTATATAGCTTCTTCGAGCTCCAGTCCCAACTATTCTCATCATGTGCAAGGTCCCAGCCCCAGTCAATCTTGGTCCAACTTGCTGAAGCATTGAAAGAAACAATTTCTGTGACTGTGTCTCCCAAGATCTGCATACATGACATCCGTATGCGTGAAACATATGCAAATCGACGACATGCAAACTGCCGTTGCGCCCAACGACATGTTGTTCCAACGGCAACAGAAGTTGTGTCAAGACTTTCTGGACTTTCCACAAGGGTATAACAACAGTCGCCTCATGTGCACCAAGCCAACATCATCTGTCCACTATCCTCATCAGTGCAGAGATGAGAAGAATGTACTGTTGGCGCACATCTCTGGACTGATCCGACCACGTGCCAAAAGTGACAAGTGTTTGTTGGAAAGGGACATAATGGAACGCCAGAAAGGCAAAAAGTCCAAAAGGCAAGTCTCGCCATGAGCATGGCATACTGGCGGATGGAGAAACTTGATGTCCAGTTGTTCTTGTGTTTTTTGTTGTTTCTCGAGCGTGAAGCCTTCCAACGATGCATAAACTGCCAAGAGTGTATCCTCCGACTCCGTGAATGGAGCAAGAGGCATGTCGCAAGGAGACAAGTCCTTTGTCAAAGTCCAAAAAACAAGCATGCATGAATGAGGCCAAACTGCATCCAAGCAACGGAGCTGGATGCGAAATCCAGGTCCATCGCAAGCACCTCGCAGCTTGTCGCATGATGCATTTCACAACGCTGTGCATCTTACCTTGCATTACATTCCATAGCGCGTACGTAATGCACGACATGCCAACATACGGGTGACGAACATTGCACGAGAAATAGCACAATGCGTTACATGCATGCATTGTATTCATATGGAGGCTCCTCCAACATCTGCACTCTCCTAGAAGCAACCCTACATTTACCATGCATACACAAAGGAAGCGCAACTGAACAAGGGCTAAGCTGTCAGCCCAGAACCAAAGTTCAAAGCGGGTGCTGGGCAGTCTCCAAGAATACTCAAGGCAAACTGATAGAACTCAGGGTTCGCCCAGATCAGAGCGGAGTGGTGCCCAATCAGGCTTCAGCATAGGTAGCCAGCCAAAACACACCTCAGCCGGCACGGCGCGAAAGAAGCCGTTTGACAACAAGCGCAGCCATGTGCAGAACATGCAACAAGCTAGAGCAACGCGCTTATACACTGCAACTGCGCTGCAGCAAGCGCGCAGGGAACAGCCGTGCTGAGACATATACAGCACATGTCACGGCTCATTGCATGACACAGCAATGAGAGGGCACTTTACTTGATTACATGTTACAAATCGCACGCGTCATACTTCAAACTGCAGAATCCCTATAGCCTGTTACATATGATGCATTGCGTGACATCACATATTGAACTAGACCACATCACATCACATCACACCGTGCCTACCAAATATGTCATACCATCACAGCACGCGTTGCATTTCACGCAATAACATGGATGTGACACAGCCAATCGTGTGGCCAAACCCAAGCCTGAAACCCCGCGCACCATCCTGAAATGGTCGGTCTAGCCGGTCAAACGTGTGGACGATTCCCCGGCTGGCCCTAACGTTACAATCGCAAGCCCAAACGCAACTGCAACGACAATTGCTCTGCTGAATCGTTACAGAAGCTGTGTTGAAGTTACAACGAACATTGCGCATTCAATTCTGTTGTCATTGCACCAAACAACAGAACTCACCTCAACATTGCAGCGCCATCGATTCCAATAGACATCCGCTTTCGCGGCGACACTTGCTTTGGGCTACTTGCACAAGTTGCGCATGGTGGGAGGCATCTTCCTCAAAACCCGGCCTGAGAGCGCCACAAGAAGCAGCCCTCGCGCTGCTGCCGGCATGCCTGGATCTTCAAATTGGGGAGCCCCAAGAAACCCATCTGGGTGTCTCTAATTCAAGGGTACCTGGATCGCCAGTTGCGATCGCGTTTTTTCCATCCACTCAAAACCCCAAAAACCAGCAACAGTGACTCAAAAAAGCAGCAACTTGGCTATCTGGGTCCCCTTATTAGGCCCTGCTTTAAAAAGGCCACTCATTTTCGGGGTCTCCCCTACGTCGGAACGCACCCAACTCTTGTCTTGGCTGGTTTCCACTTGTCACGGGCAGCGGACCTAAGGGCCAAAAGGCTTCTAGTTTGACCTATCATGCCGTTTCCACGTTGGAAGCTCAAGGGGGAAAGTGTACCCTTAAAAGTCACACCCATATAAAAATTCCGAGTTGTGGTTTCCGTTTGCTTTGCCTTCGAATACCACCCCAAAGGGACGCGGGTCCGTAGGTCCTACTTGCAAATCTTGGCAGAGCGGCATTCTCCTCGTTAGAGACACCAGCGGGACAGGCGGTGCTCACCTTGGCTTCCCAAGCTCTTCCACTCCCATGGCTGTTTGCCTCGCTGTGTATGCCCTTTGCTCAGCAAAGGTCTTTCGTGAGTTGCGAAAAATTGCGCTTCTCCATGGGGCCGGATTCCGCTCCAATGGGCTGAAGTTTGTGCCTCTTTGAGACGTCCAAAGCCAGCGGCAAAGGCCTGTCACTGGGGTCCTTGTATGTCCCCTTCGAACATCACCCCATAAGAAAATACACTTGGACATGGCTAAACCAGTGCCGTGTCTGGACAAAACATAATGAATCCATACACGGTGCGTCTGCTTTTAGAGGACCCCCGAAAGTGTTGGTTTACATTTTGATTTCCCTACTCTCAACACAACGACACAGCCACATCCTGGCGTATGACTGTTGTGGCCACTGCACCCCAGCCCCGAAAACTCGGCTGCAAGCCGAGCCGCACTCGCCTTGGAGCCACTTGATCTGGACGCGCAGCTTCCTTGCGTGCGGCCTGGCGAAGGGACCCCCACTGTCTCACCAAACGAACCATGCTCCTTTTGCTTCAAGACCCTAGCTGAGGTTCGCAGAGGAAACAAACAGATGAACGCATCTGTACCTCGGCCAATTGAATTCAAAGGAGCTCAAAACTATACAGTTCTGGGTAAAACCATATGGCATGAACTTGGGTTGCTCGAGACACCTCAACACACCCGATGATTCCGGATGATTCCAGGCGACAAGCACAAAATCCAACGGGAGACATTTCATCAAACCGATAGAAATGGCCGCGTCTTCCTAGCAAGCCTGAGTCGCTTGGCAGGCGAGATTTGAGGCAAGCCAAAGGCTCTCAAATCAAAATACAGAAGCATGCTTCAGGAATGCGGTCCTAAATTCAGTTCCCGTGCTTGCACGTTTTGAAGAGACACCAAACTAACAAAACAAGGAAGCAACTGATGATGAACAGTGGTGTTGGATTCCAAGAAACACTGACACGACCCCCTTTTGAAGGTTTTAAAAAGAATCCAAAGAGAAACTACCTGGAAGGGTCCCTAATTTTGAGAACCACCCCTTTGCAAGAAACCGTTCAAAAGAAGCTGTAAGCAAGAACCATGTGTTGCAATGGTTGCAAGAGGCTCAACGGCTGTGCCATCAGTGGCCCGCGCGGTCACATCACTCATAGACTCGAAAAGCAAGGATCCTAAGGCTAAATGGGGGCTGCTTGCTAAACCTATAGAACTAGTCGCTCTCGTATCTTTTCGCCCTCGCGCTTGCCCTTGCACTTTCTTGCATGCCCCAAACTGTTCAACATGCGCAGACATCGTTTCAACTAGAAGCGTATCACGGGAAGTATCCTTCAGCAGCTCCAGCTTGAAAGTCGCAAGTTGAGCACAAGTGTAGCACGCGAAGCACGCTTTGGCAGCTCCAGCTCGAAAGTCGGAACTTGTCAGTAAAAGTGTAGGCACGTGAAGTACGCTTTGGCAGCTCCGGCTCAAAAGCCGCAACTTTCCACACAACAAGAAACAAGTCCCAGCAAAGGGCAGTGCTGGCAAGCCATTTTTGCATGCATCCGGAACTTACGTAAGAAAAAACATACTTGTGAAAAGGAAGGTTTGACTTCATTAAACCTTGCGCTCACCCTTGCGGCCCTTGCGCCCTTTTGGGGGCGGGGGGGGGGCGCGGGGGGGGTAGAACAAATCCGCCTGACAGGACGCTTCCAAAATTTCGGCCAACATTTCTTTGGCGCTTTCTCCAGTGATGCTAGCTCCTCTTGAGTGGTTCACACCCTTTGAGCGTGACCTCCAAACCAAAGCCCAAGCCTGGGATCGGTGTGTTGGGTGAAGCCCTTCCCAGTCCGTGCGGTTCCTCAGGTCCACCGGAAATTCGGGCAACTTGGGGCCCAGAAGCAAAAGCTGACTTGAAAACGACCCAAAAGCGATAAGAAACACGGCGTGTCGTTTTGGGGGGGGGACCCCAAAACTGGTGATGTTCCTGTTGGTTTCCCCTCAAACCTACAAACAAATGTAACAACAAGGCGAAGCCGCTCCAAAAAAAGACGAGCCACCCATGGCTAAATGAGCGATCCCATGATCCCCCGTCGGCCTTTCAGCAGCTTTCGCCACTCCTCCTCTTGTGCCCGCAGACGGGAAGCTGGAACCTGGGCGGCTCGTCTTTTTGCAGTTTGGTACCCCTTTCTGATTGGGTTTAACAGAAGAAAAAAAGGACAACCCATTTTGGGGGGTCCGATTCCTAAAAGCAAGACTCCCCCCAGTGGACATTGGTTCCGCATCCCAGCCGCTTCATCCTCCGGGTACCACATCTTCCTCCGCGGGCGGCTGGCGGCCGACTTCCGCGTGGCCCGCCAGAGGTCCGTCTTTGCGCCGCACGCCGCCCGGGACCTCGGAAGGGACGTCTCATGGGCGACTCAACTGGACCTTCAGTAGAGACTTGGGCATGACTTTTGTATGGGGAACCCTTTGGGGGACATCACTTTGCTGCAGAATGATATGTCCACCAACAATTTGGGAGGGGCTTCCTCCTTAAAATTCATAGGCATTGGAGACCATGGTATACCCACATTTCAGAAACTTTGACCACGGCACATGTTGCTTTTGAGGCAACCCGCGTCAGGTTGGAAACGGAGGAAAGCCACCACTTGGGTGTCTTTTTGTGGGTACCCCTTTTTTCTGCCTGGAAAGGGAAACCGAAAGCAACCCCACCCTTTTTTATTTGGGGGGGGCCTATTTTGAACACAAACCCGAATAGACACCCGATGCCGGGGTTTCCCTCGGCTGCTTTGTAAACACCCCATTTAACGGGTTCCTCTTGGTTTCCCGTTGGTGCGTAAAATGCCTGCTGCCACGGAGCCTCACTGGCCACGGCCACTTCTCGCCAAGGCACGATGTGAGGTACATCACGGGGTCTGGATCAGTGAAAGATTCCAAGACAGTGCCTGGCAAGCAAGCAAATGGGTGTGCCTTTTGGGGAGTTAGTACCCCCTCTTTGGATGGTCAATGGTTCTAAATGCTAAATGGAAGCCAAAAGTAAAACCGAAATCCATGTTGGGGGTTCCTCTAAAAACCAAGGCACACCTACTGGAAATCATTGAGTGTCTAGACCAAAGGAACCCAACCAATTGATCGATGTGCGTCTGTCTCTTCAAGGGTACCCCCTTTTTGTGGTTTTTAGAGGAAACCCAACGGAAAACTGGAATCCATTCTGGGGATTCCCCATTCAAAAGGCCCGCTTGCCAGTTTCTCGGTTTCTTTCCTGTCGACCCACAAGGCGCCTTTGTGGGGGGGGGGGGGAGACTTCCGCGCGCCTCCTCGGGCCAGGAGGACTCCAGCCGGGCGTGTAACCTGGGTGCGACACGTTGGACCGTGGCACAAGGTTCCGCGATCGAAACCTGACGCACAAATTGCATCATGCAGTTGGACGCGCACAAAGCTTGCAAACTCTTCCTGGTGCTTGAAAGTGGTTGCAACATGGCTTCCCAAAGCTTGCATCCATGAAGGGAAACTCGAAGGCAACGAAAGCGACGACAAAGAGGAGGACAAGGATGCCGACAACGATCATGAGATCGCGCTTGAGACACTGCGTGTCAGGTGAGTCAGCCTGTCTCAATGGAGACGCTCCGCCCAGAGCGAGCTCCATGTAGCGGCAAAGTGTTTCGAGGGATTGGAAGTAGTCATTCCGATCCTGGTCAACTGGGGCCAACATGAGCGAAGTGTCCAAACTTCTGCGAAATGCGCCAACATCCTCTCAAATATTATGCAGTCAGTCCCGGGAGGTGTAAGCAAGCAAGCAAGCAAGCAAGCAAGCAAGCAAGCAAGCAAGCAAGCAAGCAAGCAAGCAAGCAAGCAAGCAAGCAAGCAAGCAAGCAAGCAAGCGAGCTCCTACTCCTACTCCTACTCCTACTCCTACTCCTACTCCTACTCCTACTCCTACTCCTACTCCTACTCCTACTCCTACTCCTACTCCTCTCCTACTCCTACTCCTACTCCTACTGCTACTACCACCACCACCACTGCACCAACAGCAGCCTCAGCAGCAGTACCAGTAGCAGCGACAACAAGAGCAACGGCAACAGCTACAGCATCAGTTGTGCACCACAACGACAGCCAACAACTACGACGACGAAAACAGTGACGACGCCGACGACCACGAAAGCGTGGCCTGAGAGACAGTTCACCCCCCAGGACTAACGGCATGATCGATTCCAATGACTTGGTGATGGGGGCATTTTGGGCTGCGCTTTCGACCAGTATTGGCCACTGCCCTGGCAAAAACATGGCGGGGCCAAGACTGTCTTCATTCCAAGTTGCAAAGCGGAAACATATTGTTTGGAGGCTCAACCTGTGGAGCAAAGCTGAGATTTGTGGCACTGCTACATATGCACAACAAATCTGCAAGCTTCTAACAAACCCACACAAGTTGCCTGAATTGCCTAACTGACATCAACGCTGGTTTTTCTGACCGTGAATCGCAGCTTGCAAGTTAGCCATGTCATGCAGTTATCACTTGTTGACGTCTCTGGCAAGCAGAAAGTTAAATACGCGTCATTGTAGATCATTGCTTGGTAGCCTCACACAAGGATTCGCAACATGTTCACCTTGTCAGACGTCTTCAGCAGGAGGGCCGGAATGAAAATGGCTTCAACTGTAGGACATATACCTTTTCAGAGACCAATGCGCTCGCAACGAAAAAAGTCCAGAAAGGTCATCAGGACGGGCAATAACAAAGAGGGCAACAGCAAAGAGGGCAAAACAACAAAGAGGGCAAAACAACAATGAGGGCAAAACAACAATGAGGGCACAAAACAACAATGAGGGCACAAAACGAGTAAAGGAGCAAAAGCAATGGGCAAACACGCAAAGGTCGGTGACCCAAAAAAACGGCAGCCAAGAGGCATCCTTCTCAGTCGACACCCGGCTCGCTGTCGACATTGCGCGCGCTTGGAACGCGTTTCGGTCCGTCTGTCCCGTGATTCAACGGGGCTACTCGCACGCCATGACTCGAAGGATGGCAGCCGCTGCTTTTCGCCTTTGGAGACCCCCACAAAAAGCGGCCAATAGGCGATTGGAGCCTCTGAACCGAAGCGGCAATTGCAAGTTGCACTCCGACTGGGCATGTGCTAGGGCGGCCGAATTTGATCCCCCCAAAGCCGCGAGCGGCTCAAGAAAAATGACTGCGTGGCCCTGAGTGCGTTCCTGCCACCGTAGATTCCCTCTGAAACTGGGAGTGCCAACGCCAACCTAGAAAAGATGTGAAGTACTTAAGGAGGGCGTATGGGTGTGCCTCAAAATTCAATCTCCGGAACTACAACTACAATGGTTGTATGACCATCCTTGGACCACGGTGGCATATTCCTATAAGTTTGATGACCATTCCCACTGACACACCAACAAAACAACATTCCGACTATGCCACATGAACATGAGCCGCCCGAGTAGTAGAACTTTCGCCAACCTACCCCCTGGGAAGCCCTGAGACACTCTTGGAGAAATAAAAACTGTGCATATCTGTGTGTTCATGTTCTTTGGAGTTGGTACCCGCCACTAGGTGAGTTTCTACTAGAAACCTGTGGTCCAAGTAGCTCCCCCTCCCCGCAGGACTCAGGCTGGCACTCCATGCAGGCCTTCCATGAGCCTGAGAGTAGCAACTTCGCTTCACCGCAGCCACGCCGTCCCTTGGTTTTGACCCAAAGAAAAGCTGGGGTGTCCCCCCCCCGCCCAAAAAGAAAAGCGACTGGCACAGCGGGACTTTGCGCAACGCAGTTCAAGCGTCCAAACTTAGAGCCTGCCGTGGTTTGATACAAATTGCCGTAATCCACTGGGCAGGGTCAAGACAGCAAAAGGGAAAGGGACGACAAGGTCGAGCGAAGCTTTGTGAGTCTCTCCAGCACACGAGAGATACGGTATTTAATTTGCGCCCTTGGGAGAAGCTCTGGGCTCCTAGGTGGGTCCAAGGGATCTCCAAACAAGGGCAACCAAGTTGGACCGACCCTCCTTGAGAGACTTCACTTGCAGCCGAAATTCGCTTCATTCTCGGGGGCTGCAATGACTTTTCGGCCAGAAAGATGGTACCTGGCAAGGCGTCACTGGTCAAAGTAACGCCCAAACTTCATTCATGTCTTTCTCCTTCAGCCGAAAGTTGGGCCAAAAGGGGGGGAGATTTCGCTAATCATCTGCACCTCAAACGTTGAACAAACCCAAACACTAGCCGGCAAAAAGAGTTCCCAAGCTTGGGGGAAAAAACATCTTCTTGCCACGCACATCCTCCGCATTTCTCTTTGGCCGAAGCCAGCAAGCGGATTTCTCTTGAATCAGCCGGGAACGCACGACTTCAGCACCGACATCGCAGAAGAAGGTGCCATAGCGCAAGTGCTCCTCTGGCTTCAAAAGGCCTTTCTAATGGAAGGATCTGACATAGTCCGTGCTGATGCTCCATGAGTCCAGTCTTGCCCTTGACTTTTGTCATCGAGACCATTCTGACCAAGTACTCCCCAACCAGCTCCGTGTCTTTGCTTAGCGGGTAGCCCCCAGTTTTGCAAACTGGTCCGGCGCCTCCTCCAAATGCTCAGCGTGTAGAAGGCGCGGCCACATCTGCTCGACTCCGTACCTGCCGGCGAACCCCACAGGTCACCGAAAATGGGCGGTTTCCCGCTGGCTGGAAACAGCCCCTAAAATGGCATCCCAACAAAGGCCAACACTACATACACTTGTTCGTGCTGTGGAAAACAAGCAATCGAACTGCAAGTGAGTCTCTTGGGCGCAACTGACACATCAGAGAAGCACGCACCGTTTGAAGTTCATGAACGTCTCTCTCTCCGCATGAAGCTCCCTTCCCTTTGGCTTTCGCCCGGAGGCCTGCGCTCGGGGTTTTCCCTGAGGCCCATCTTCGCTTCGGGCAGCACCACCTGGTGTCGCATGGATCTGGCCAGTGCATCGGAACTGATTCATGGATGGCTTCGCCCTCCGGTTCGTTCCTTTTGTCCCCAGGGTCGGAAGTGAAGCGGGGGTCTACCCATTTTGGTGGGGGGCTTTGTCCAAATCACAAGTCGAAAGTGGGCTGGTGTGGGAAGAACACCAACCCAGGTGAGCGCCAAAAACAAACAAATTTATCACGGCCGCTGTGCTCCCACATGGGACAGCATGAAGTCTTGTGACAATGTGGGCAAGGTGAGGTGCAAAAAAGATGCAAAAGAGCAGCGTTCTCCAAGCTCCGTCGGAAGGGTGACAATCGGTGCACGTCCCATCTGTCAAAACCAGGGCGCAACCCAAAATATCGTGCAGAAGATTTTAAAGGTCCGACTATTGGGGACTGTCCCCTTAACCTTCTTCCAGGTTTTGAATGCAGCTCACCTGAGATCTCTTAGAAACTCCCCTATTACAGGTGTCGCACCTGTGCCCTACCCGCCCTTCAGATCTCTGGGCGGGCCCTCCTCCGTGTAGTGCTTGCAGCGGCAAAGGTGCGGCTTGTCGTACCTCGAGCTGCAGGCATGCCCCCCTTTTTCGGGGCATGCCGTTGTGTTGAGAGGATATTATTGGATGTGTCAAATGCTTTCTGGTGTTTGTCAATGGGCACTAAAGCTTGTCACATTACGTATAGAAAGCAGCGAGATTGATCCTTCACCGACAAGTCCAACCAAGACGAAAGGCCAAAGGCCCTCAGCCAAAGCTTCGGATCTCACAATCGGGGCTCGAGATTTCTGGCGAGGGCTTGCCGTCACTCATCTTTCTCATATGTCCATGCCCATGTCCATCTTAGCCACGGTCACATTTCAGCCACTGACATGGGAAAGGTGGAGCTCCATCATGGCTCCGTTGGTTGGAAAGGGAGCGTCCCCTCTCTCCAAAACCCGAATGTTATCGGGGAAGCATATTCACCCTGCAGCACCTCAGACATTTGAGGCAAGTTCCGCAAGAAACCGGACGGACGGACTGCACCCATTTTGTGAGTTGTGTTGAGAACCCAGTTGACATGTAATGGACCCCTTTTGGTTGGCATAAGGGAAACCAAAGCGACCTCAACTTTTTGAGAACCGCGCGATTTGAGAACAATTCTGGGTGTGTTTTTTGAGAAGGGTACCCATTTCCGGAGGCGAAATTTTGGCGCATCACATACGGGTATGGGTCAAAATATACCCACCAGACAACCGCAGGTTTCAGTCTTTGGTTCCATTTATCAGGGCAACCCATTTTGAGTACGCATTTTTTTGACCCACAGCCATATGGCTGTGGGTCAAAAATACGTACCCAAAATGGAACGTTTAATTTTGACCCACAGCCACATCCATCCAAACCCCTCCCGTGGAAATCCTCCCCGCCCAACGCCAAACCGCCCCTTCGAGGGTCCCCGGCCACAGCAGCTGCGGCACCAGGCGCAGGCCATGGACTTCCCGCGCCGGTGGGAGCCGCAAGCTGTACCTCCGCCAAGGCGAAGCGCCGAAAGCTGGTTGTTGAGTTTTGTTGTTTACCTTTCTTTTTACGTTTTTTTAGGGGGATTTGGAGTGTGACGACTTTTTAAGGAAGCCGCTTTTTGGTTGGGTTTAAAGAGAAATCAAGGAGACCGACCATTTTAGCGGGTCCCCGCATTTAAAAAAACCAAAAAAACTCATTTGGGTATGGTGCGTTCGGCGCTTTGCTGAATCAAATCGGTGCCATGTTGAGCTCAAAATCGCCAAACAACATTTTTTGGATTGGATTCGCAGAGGTCACTGGATTTGACCTTCATTTAATGTTGGCCCCGGATGAATAAACCATGTTTATTAAAATGGGGGTGCTAGTGGGGATTCAGACCACTCCATTTTCTTGAAGGGGAGTTTGATGAATCCGGGGTCAACAATAAGTCGATCCATTGAAACAATCGCGCGCCTCAGCTGCATCCTGCGGGCCTCAGAGCAGATATCCCTAGCTCGATTTGTCTCGCTGTATATATGGGCAGGCGCCAAAAACGGGGGACCCCCGAAAGGCGGCCTTTCTTTTGGCTCCCCTTTAAACCAAATCGTGCATATGTATCATATAGAGAGAGATATGGCGGTTGTCTGGTTCCGGAAACCGCCATCTTCGCGGGAAAAAAACTAACTTTCGCGGACCCCATCGCGGAACTTTCGCGGGGCTGTTTTCGGAACATTCATCAAATCAAGACCAGCCTGCTCACGCCATCGTAGCCTAGCCAGACTGGGCAATCCATGGCTGCCACAAATCTGAGCCCGTCGACGAGTTCCGCCTGGCTGCAAGCGAGCTTGGTCCGGCGCCCTGCCTCACTGACCTGGCTTGTCTGGCGGGCGCGCCCCTGCACGAAGTACACTTTCGCAGCCCCAGCTCGAAAGTCGCAGCTTCTCACTACGAAAGTAGTGCGACAAGTGAACTTCCGCAGCCTCGCCTCGAAAGTCAACACTTTTCAATACGAAAGCAGTACACGAACTAAACTTCCGCAGCCCCAGCTTGAAAGTCGCAACTTTTCGATACGAAAGTAGTACATGCAGTAAACTTCCGCAGCCCCAACTCGAAAGTCGCAACCTTTCAGTTCCAAAGTAGCACGCGAAGCGCACGTCCGCAGCTCCAGCTCATAAGCCGTGCGGCAACACGAGAGGACCCGTTGGCCTCATGTCCGGAAACTGGCGGGGAAGTCCGTCAACTTTCGAGCAACTTTCGCGGATCTTACGCCAAACATTCGTGAAAATCCAGCTGGAAAGTTGCACCTAACTTGACCCGAAAGCTTCAAAACTCCCACAAGCTGGTTTCTGCTGGCTGGGGGTTGCCTTTGCAGCGTCGTATTCTTGCGGCGACCCTCAGGCCGTGCATTCCCCGACCAACTTTAGTCTACGGGCATTCTGCGCGCACTGCCGGCTAATACGCATGGTTCATCATTCCAGCTTCCTGTTAGCAAGCCACCCTTACACGAAACTTTCGCAAACAAAAAATGACTTTCGCGAGCCCCTTCGCGGAAAAATTGGGGGGAGGGTCGTACATGTATATGATACGCATGCATGCATACAGATGTGATAACAGCAATGACATCAGCACCTGCAATCTGAAAGAGTTTGAATGCATCCAAGAATACAAGAACAACTCAGACATTTTTAAAAATTATTAAAAATTCTGGGATTCAAGATTCAAGATTCAAGAATCTGAGAAAATATTTTCTGGGAATCTTGAATCTTGAATCTTGAATATTGAATCCCATAATTTTTAAAAATTAGTAAAAATTCTGGATTCAAGATTCAAGATTCAAGAATCTGAGAAAATATTTTCTGGGAATCTTGAATCTTGAATCTTGAATCCCATAATTTTTTAAAAAACAATAGAAATTCCAGGGTTGTCCCAATACTCTCGGTGTTCAATAAGATTCTCGGAAAAGTTTTCCGTGAAATAGTTCAATCCAGTGGTAACGGATGTTCGAGGTGATAGAACAACTTGAACATTTTAGGGGTTGACCAGGATGGATGATTCTCAGGAAAGTGGTGGTTTGTGGGCTCCTCAATATTGAATCCCCAGTCCAGTGGTAAAGCACTTTCAAGTGTTAGAAGAACTTGAATGCTATTTGGGTTTGGCCAGGATTGACAATTCTCAGGAAAGTGTTCTGTGTAATCTTCAATATTGAATCTTCCATCCGATAGTAGCAATTTTTCAAGTGCTTAGCGATCCAGTGGACACACTTTCAAGTTATTGGTTAGACAAACTTTCAAGTGCTTTTGGTGAGCTTCATGTCAGCTATGCTCATGTTGACCCCTTTCTAGGAGGTAAACAAAGGCAGGTGCAACGCTCAAAAATACTGCATTTTCCAGTATTTTATGAGGAGGCGCAGGATCATTGGGGGTACTATATATGTGTGTATGTATGTGTATATGTAGATATACATATGTATGTACGTTCACACACCGTCCCCCACCCTCTTCAACTACCTGTCCACATTTGCTCATCTACTACCTCCACCTTTTGACATAGAATTAACTTTCCTGCGCAAATAGGACTTTAAATACAACGGTTTAGCTAGAATCCCTGTTTCGAGATAGTTTTAGATTTTGAACCTCTCTTCCCTTGAAATGTCCCTTTGGAACACCGTCTAACAAGTTCAATGTCGGACCTTTCTCATGCTACAAAAGGGCCAGAATGTAAACAACACAAATCCTATTTTTAATTTCCAAATGTTTAGCCATATTGAATATGAATTATATTTGAGGTGTAGTCTCTATTCACTTGATATTATCAAAAGCAAATTGAGTTGTGTTCGTCTTAGATTATACTTACCACTTGGATTATATTTGGGAAAAACTTCCATCTAACTTCTTGTGTTATAGATTAGTTGGAGTTTAGCCGAAAATATATATTTACATTTTCATGTAGCTGCTATTTGGAAAGGATTTGCTTGTTTAAGCTGTAATTGAACATAAACACATTTTTGAAAACTATATCCATACTAAACTATATTCAAAATTCCAATTCTAGTTGAAGTAACATCTTATGTGCAAAGGAGGACTCCGGGCTCCAAATTATCACGCTTTGGGGACCCACAATTGGAATTTCTAGATTTGCCATCCCCAAAAGGCTGTAAAACCAGGGTCCATGGGGGGGGGGGTGCATATATATATATATATATATACATATATACATATATATATATATATATATATGGTCACCCGGGCCCTGGGAGGGCTAAGCACATATACATATGTACAAAACGTATGCACAGCCTCGCTGTGGAGCTGACAGAACCTTCGGCTCATTCTCTGGGCCCCGCATAGCCGAGAGTCGTCAAGGACTGCATGCCGATGTACTTCACTGCTGCGTCCGAATCCATGGCGGCGACCTCGGAACTTGCCAGCAGACCAGTCTATTAGTGGGGTTGATCCCTGGCAGTTGCGTGGAAGACCTTGGATTCACATGGCCCAAAACATCGACCCCCAGAAGCGCCAGCTGGAGCAACAGCCTGGGCGACCCGCGCCAGCGACGTGAGATCCACATCCTTCACGAAGAGCCAATCATGCTGCACCTTGAACCAGCGACACTTCGACAAGCATGGGCTTGTGCAGCGTGCCATTGATCTCAGCTTTTCGGCAAACTCCTGGAACACCCAAACCACTGGCTTGAGGAATCGGAAGGCAAGCATTCCATACTGGCCCTTTGCAACCTCCATCTTCAACTCAACAAACCAAGGCCCATTGCCACATCTTCCCGCAAACCCACCCCCTCCCCCTGTCTTACCCCCCCATCCCTCCCATCCCTCCTATCCCTCCCACGGGCCCTGGCACCACCAGCACGAACTCGCTGGACACCTCCGCGAGCCCGGCGGCCAGGGCCAGCCCGTACCTCACAAGTCGGCTGCGTGGTGGATGGGTCTCGATTGTAGGCGGTCATCAAAATTGGTGGGGACCCTTGGGCATCAAAACTTTGAGTTAGGGAAAAATCCGTGGGGATCCAGGTCCACCAACCACTTTGGAGGGGGTTGCCCATTACAAGTTTCATAGCCAGTCGAAGAAATGGGTGTAAACAAATGTCAACCGGAAAAGTATTCTCTGGGCATCGTTCGCATGCTTGCAGCCGAGTATCTTTGAGGGTAACCATCAAATGTCATAGCCATACGCGCACTCTTTAAACTATGAGCAGCTCGTCTCCATGCAGCCATGCAAGTGACAATTTCCTGTTGGCGCTGATCAGGACCGCAAGTCACCAAACACCCGGCCCGGGCGATCCGGGGGCCGCACCCATGACAGTGGCCAAGCCTGCAGTGCATGTGCTCCCAAAAGAAAAGCGCGCACGTCTTCCACACGTTTTGCATGTCCGCTTGCTGGAGGGAGGTCGTCTGACAACAATTTAAAGACAAGAACCGACTTCTCATGCCCCCGAGCGATCCAATGGCCCCGGCTTCAGCACGGTGCAGTCCCCCAGCTCCCCGGTCGCCCGCAGCTCCTGCGAACGGAAGAGGGGGTGGGTTTTCAAATGCCATTTGTTGTGCATGGTTCAAAGGGAAGCCAAAAGGAAACCACCCATTTTGTGGGTGTGGAAAACAAGATTTGCCTCAGACCCTCTGAATTTGGGGTCGAAAGGGACCCCAAAAGAAAGCCGCCAAAAAAGATGGCGTCCGATTCCAAATGTCTCAGACAGAAAATGATCGCCCGCGTCGGAAATCTCCAAACGAAGCACCCGCCTCAACCCAAAGAGCACTGCAAGCAAACGAAAGCGAAGGTTGCAGGGGAAGACATGTGGGCTGTCAAGTGTCCAAACAGCTCCACTTGCGACCTGTTTTGCAGAAACGGCGCAGCCCTTGTCCGAGCAAACAGCGTCCGCCAGACTGTGCGGCTGATTTGTCATCAGCTTCTCTCAAGAAAGTGCTGCGCGCACCACTTTTTCGCGCAACCTGTTCTGGTCAGATTCGGGGCGCCCTCAAGCCGAAGCTGAGTGCCAAATCCCAACGGTTCAGCTTCAGCGCTTCATCGACAAAGCCACGTCTGTGGAGGTCCGGCGAGCAAACATGCCGGCACATCCACGTCAACCTCTTAAATCCCGACGCGAATCCAAGCATCAATGCCGCTTTTGGCAAAACACACCCATATAATATATGATGCCATCATCTGTTGGGTCATGAAGGAACTGCGCCATCTTTCGGGTGTAGGTCTGGTGTGGCTTGGCCTTGGAAACCACGCGCCTCATGTCCTGGCAAAATGGACATGCATGTGCTCATGTTGCTCCCAATCGAATGCCAGTTCCGAGCGGCGCTGAAAGCTCGCTCGCTTGGGTCGCCGCGGTGGTTTTGCAGTACACTTGAAGCAGTTTTCAAGGGACAGGGCAGAACCAACAGTTTCAAGTGCTCCGTCAGCTGAGAAACTCACAAGCCACTTGTTCAAGGCGCTCGATCTTTCAAACCAGAATCTCCCTCAAAGCAGATCAGCCCCGACTGGAGGCTAAGAAAACAACTCCACACATAGTTGTGTTTGGCAACGTCGCTCCTCCACGTTGGACAAAAATCCCTCATAGGCCTGGCAATAGGAATTGACCAAGTTCAGAGGCGACTCAACTTGAACGACTCACTTACTGCCCGTGCGCCCTCAACATGCAATGCCTCCGCGAGCTCCCCCTCTTCCTCCCTTCGCTTCTCTCTCTCTCTCTCTCTCTCTCTCGCTGCTTCTGTCTTGCATGTGTCAACTGAGCAGCCTATCCTACAGGCACACCGACCAAAATGGCAGCACACAACCCAACAGGATCCCGAAATGACCGCACATCTCCCTGGTCATCCAAGAACCTTCAACTAAAACACTAAGCTAACGGGCCCAAACACGTCTCAGTGAACGTCTCAGGGACAAAGTCACTTGTCAGTGTGCGCAGCTTATTTGTCCCATATTCTTACTTTCAGCCTGCACTTCCCTACTATTTTCCTGGCACGTTCAGTCAGTGTGAACTGCTTCCGTACTATGTTGCACAGCTTCCTGATATAAACCAAATGTTGTTGCTCTGTCAGTTTTCTTGTTGAGCTAGACTATTACTTGTGGGCTGCGTTCTCTGTTTGTCAGTACATCGATCAAACTACAAATCTTCGCGCTTTGTAAACATATGGTTCGCTTGGCATTTCAGCGAGGGAGACGAGATCAGGACGGGCGCACTGCGCACAACTCACCTTGACCCGCAGCGCTGCACTTTCGCGCTGCCCAGCCCTGCCTGAAGTTCTGAACACTCCTTCCCCTCTTGAACGCGGAGTATGGAGTGGGAGGAGGGAGGGGGAGGGGGGTTTCCTGCAAAGTCAAGGCGTACTGGTGAAATGTGACACCCCGAATCCCAATCCATAAATTCCAGGGAAGCCAGTACAAAGGAGACCTGTGAACAGCCCAGGGGTTTATCCATCCGTCCACATTATGCCCAGGTTGCCCCTTCCACCTCCTGCCCACAGAGCTGCGGCTTCTCATCTTCACGCGCGTAGCCATCGCAAACCTCGGCTGAGTGGCCCAAGAGCACTGACGCAATTCCTAGCTGTCCTCTTGGAAAACCTGGCGAATGGTGAATCTATTTGAAGCAGTGCAATCCATCTATTAACAAACTCACCCAAAAGGACGCTGTTGGTCATGACTTCCTGAGGGAAAGCTTCGGCAGCAAGCAGGGCTGTGTTCACGACTCCGGCGTTCGGTGATTGCCCTTCGCAGTTGATACAAGGAACATACCGACCTCGACTCCCAACTCTCGGCCAATGGGCGTTCATGCCAAAAGGATGCCATGAGTCACAATCAGAACTGATCGGTATTAAAATCGTCTAAACAAATGTGGGGGCTGGGACTGCCCCTTACTACCCTTCATCCACCCGGGTTTTGACTCTGGTTCACATGTAACCAACCAGTTGAACCGGGTGTTGACCTCAACATGGGGTAAGAAACTTCAACCCCACTTCTCAGGGGCCAGCAAGAAGCGCTCTGCCCATTTGAGATACGTTTGGGCCAACCGTGTGGGGTCATGCATAACCCCCCCCCCCCATATTTATATATATATATATATCAAATAACTCCCGATTCAGAGGCTGGTTCTTACAAAGGCTACTGCTAAGGTCTTTCGACCCCGCCCTGGTCGACTCCAAACCTCTTTGCACATCGAAAACGCGGTGCGGACCAACGGCCAGGACTCGCCGGCAGTCCAGGGAGAGATGCTTCTGGAATGATCCGAAGAGTGTCCTGACATGTGGCTGTGGGTCAAAACCAATGAGATCCCATTTTGTTGGTAGGTGAATTCACCACCCATTTTAGAATCTATTTTAGTGGGGATTGGGATGTTCATCGGGGGTACGAAATTTTGACCCATGGCCATGTGTCGTACCCGCCGATCAATCTGCAAAGCCGACATGTTGCGCCAACGGGAGGCACTTTCAAGACCTGTGCTTCGTCGTATCGCGAGAACGTGTTTTGTCCTCAATGGTGCAGTGGGGGGAGATAGTTTCATGAACAGCGGACCAAGGTTCCAGCCGCACTTTCAAGACCTTTGTTTCTCCTAGCACAACACGCTTTTGAGATGTTCTTAGGCCAGGCGACAGCGTGAATATACTGTCCCTCCTGCATGGATATCGCTTGACAAATGTCGTTATTCGAAGTGCGGAAGATCCCCCCGCCCGGGTTCACCCAACGTGTTGTAATACGCAGGAATGAAAGAAAGCGCTTTGCGCGCACACTCGCTCTCTCTCTCTCTCTCTCTCTCTCTCGCTCTCGCTTTCTCTCTTCCTCTCTCGCTGATGCGGGTGTCTTCGAATGAGGCCGCCCTCAAAATGGACCATTTCTCTTTAAGATAATTGGACACACACACATCTCCTTTGTGGTTTTCCTTGATTGCCAACAAGCTCCCAGATCAAGACCCACAGCAAACAGCAAGTGCGTACAGCTCTGCGCGAGTGCCAATTCCAGGAGTGCACTTGCGCGAGCATGATACTTGATTTGTTTGCCTTGGGTTGGTTTGTTTTGCTTCTGGTTTGCTTTGGTTTGCTTTGATTGGTTGCTTGCTTGCTTGCTTGCTTGCTTGCTTGCTTGCTTGCTTGCTTGCTTGTTTTGCTTGCTTGCTTGCTTGCTTGCATGCATTGCGTTGCGTTGCGTTGCGTTGCGTTGCGTTGCGTTGCGTTGCGTTGCGTTGCGTTGCGTTGCGTTGCGTTGCGTTGCGTTGCGTTGCGTTGCGTTGCGTTGCGCGTTGCGTTGCGTTGCGTTGCGTTGCGTTGCGTTGCGTTGCGCGTTGCGTTGCGTTGCGTTGCGTTGCGTTGCATTGCATTGCATTGCATTGCATTGCATTGCATTGCATTGCATTGCATTGCATTGCATTGCATTGCATTGCATTGCGTTGCGCATTGCATTGCTTGCTTGCGTTGCTTTGCTTTGCTTTGCTTTGCTTTGCCTTGCCTTGCTTGCCTTGCCTTGCCTGCTTGCTTGCTTGCTTGCTTGTTTTGCTTGCTTGCTTGCTTTGCTTGCTTCCTTGCTTGCTTGCTTGCTCGCTTGCTTGCTTGCTTGCTTGCTTGCTTGCTTGCTTGCTGGCTTGCTTGCTTGGCTAATGCTTGCTTGCTTGCCTTGCCTTGCCTTGCCTTGCCTTGCCTTGCCTTGCCTTGCCTTGCCTTGCCTGCTTGCTTGCTTGCTTGCTTGCCTGCTTGCCTGCTTGCCTGCTTGCCTGCCTGCTTGCCTGCTTGCCTGCCTGCCTGCCTGCCTGCTTGCTTGCTTGTCAGTGTTTGGCTTTGCTTTGTGCTGATTGTTTTGTTACTATGAGTGTCGTTTTGTGTGCGTGTGGGGATTTAGACACAAAGCAGCACACAACGTTTAACAGCGCTATCAGCATCAAAATCTTCCAGTCAGCCAGTCACAATCACAAATTGGTATTGCAGGGTCGGCTTTCCTGGCCCATTGCTTAGGACTGCCCCTCCTGCCCCCAAATTTTGACTGTGCTTCACGACGGCGTCCAGGAATCACGAAGCTGCCCGGACCCCGGACGCATGGGAGGCCTGAGAAATTTGGCTCGGCTACGCCAAGGACCTCAACTTCAGAGGTATGAGTCGATGGAGGCAGAAAGAACAAAAGTGGAACTAGTTGCAGGATCTTCTCCAATATATCTGAATCAAACAAGCTGGGCGAGTCCTCAGCAGCACAGGCGATGGATGGGACGGGATCGGCGAGGTGGTCACCAGGATCGTGATCCGGCCTGCAATGCTAAGTCAAGCGGTTCAGTTCTTTCCCGCGCAAAAGATCAAATTGAGAACTCTTGCAATCTCAGCGTTGGAAAACTTATGGCGAAGCTTCACCTTTCGTGGCCAGGTAAAAAGGCGTCCTCTGACAGGGAAATCTTTGGGTCCTCTGACTGAAACGTCATGGGTCTTGGTCGAAGAGAGCTGCAAGGAATCAGGCGCTTTCTCTGGACTCGGTGCCCCTAACCTTGACGCCGCGCAGGCTCTCTGAGCACTGCAA